ATGATCATGTTTCTATAGGTAAAGATGTCGTCAAACAGGAAATTCATTCATATGATGATAAACCGTTGAAACTCAAATGCGTTGAGCAAGGAAGCCGTGAAGCAGTGAGTGCTGCTGCCTCTGAGTCGACTACCGAAAACAATGACAATGTGAAGGGATTTAAACCTGCTGGAGATGATGCATTTTTGGATCGCGCCCCGATCAAGACACAGTCTGCTTGCTCGGAGCAAATAAGTGGTGATTTGAAGTCTATAATTCGTAAAGGCAATGCAGCATACAGGAATTATCGTGGTGACAGGGATCTATGCTCCCCTTGTCTCGGGGATTTATGTGATGATACAAGTGAGAATGGGTTTAAGCAAGAGCAAGATGCTAAGGGTTTGGACATCGGGAAGTCGAGTATCGCTAATACGTGCCCCTCGAAAGATCCAGTTGAATCGCCTATGAAATTTCCTGCTCCTGTTAATTCTAAATGTGATGCCAAATTGCCGTCCCGCGGGGACCCCATTCCTAATGCTTCTTTTTCAAGACATAGGAATGGTATTAAGTTAGGTAGTAGAGATGATGACGAAAACTTTTCTAGATTTAATAGACATAGCTATAGGTTTAAGACTTCTAGGCCTCCAACACGTATTGGAGACCGAAGGATAAGGAAATTGCTGACATCCAAATACTGGAAAGTAGCTCCAAAGTTAAAGGATTTTGAACATTCTAAATCTGGTGAGTAGTGGTCATAGCATGGTTTACATCTTACTTGAACTTCATAAATATTCTTTACTGATTTTGTGTTTCATATATTTCTAGATGGTGGAATGAGGCCTCTATACCGTAAGCGGAAGACCTACTATAATTACGACAGATATCATAACGATACACACTACAAAAGGAGGAAGTTCTTTGACCGTAGCTCGATAGTAACTTCTGATGGTGGGATCAGTAGTGAAAGTGTTTGTAATTCACCCGAGAAGGTTGTGGATGGAAACAAGGGTAGTGCTGCCTCAATGTCGCATGCAGGTGCTTCCCTTCTTCGATTACCTTATTAGTATTTTTACATTTTACGGGTTTTGAGATTGGAATTTTAATTAGTCTTACTAAACTACTTTATTCTGTTCCGTAGTATGCGGGATACCCCCCTTGCTTACAGGTAACAAAGCATCCCACCAATCCAAAGAGACTCACGGTACGAATAGATTTTGACAGACTTGTGTTAATTGTGGACGTTTTTATTATAGTTTTGGGTAATGTCTTATTCGAGGGTTGTTCTTGTACAGTGAAATTCAGCATCAAGTCTTTTAGAATCCCGGAACTTTATATCGAGGTTCCAGAAAGTGCGACCGTGGGTTCACTAAAGGTATACAAATGCTTTGTTGTTGTTTTTCATTGACGAAAATAGTTTTATTTAATTATCGCATAGTTTATAACACTTTTTACCTCGTATGTTACTTAAATACGAGTAGAGAACTGTTATGGAGGCAGCGACTGCCATACTTGGAGGTGGAATCCGTGTCGGGGTACTTCTTCAAGGGAAGAAGGTGCGAGATGACAACCGTACTCTGTCACAGACTTGTATTGCCTGTGAAGATAATTTGGATTCTCTTGGTTTCACTTTGGAGCCCGGTCCTGCAAAAGCTCCTCCATCTGTGTGCTCGGAAGAACCTCCCCTTCCGATATCATGTGATATAGCCCCTCAACAGTTAACAAGGTGATTTTTTTATTTTTTGAGATAGGGTGTTGTGATTCTTTTTCGGTTTAAATCACTTTATTTCATTTATATACATTACCTATACCATCGATAGTTTGATTAACAGATGCTTGATTTCCAGCTTTCCGACCACTCCAGTTGTAGATACAGAGATTCCCGATGTCACATCCGACCCACTTTTACTGACCAATTCGGCACATTCTGTGGATACTAAACACGAACCAGTTACCTCCCAAACTGACAAGCTACCTGATCAAAGTCTGTCGGAATCGAGAGCTATAGTTCCTGTTTCAGCACTGAATGTAGAGGCACTAGCCGTCATCCCTGCCAGCCCAAAAGTTCGAAAAACTGAGCTTACACAGCGTCGTACTAGGAGGCCGTTTTCAGTCTTTGAAGTAGAAGCATTGGTACAGGCAGTCGAGGTGCTGGGTACGGGAAGGTGTGTTACTGTTATATTCACATACTCCTTTCCATGTGTTTGCTCATTGAAGGCGATGCAGCCAGTTTATAAAGATGTGTATCTAAAAATAAACTCTTTGGGCTCTCTGCAGGTGGCGCGATATTAAAATGCGAGCTTTTGAGAATGCCGATCACCGAACATACGTGGATTTGAAGGTAAAGTAGTTGAACGATAATAATGCCGGTCATCAAACTAATGTGGAATTCTTTTTACTTATTTTGCACAGTGGGTATCTTGTAGGTATTTGATCATACCGAATGTTGCTAATAACGTGTCGTTATCACCTGCACAGGATAAATGGAAAACGTTGGTTCACACGGCGAAAATTTCCCCACAGCAACGACGAGGGGAGCCTGTACCGCAGGAACTCTTGGACAGGGTCTTGGCTGCTCATGCATACTGGTCTCAGCATCAAGCTAAACAACAGGGAAAGCATCAACCCGGGGCTTTGAGGATCACAGATGGGGAATCGGACGGAAACGGAGTCGCGACAACGGCTCGGACCAATTCGATGTAAAAAGAAGGTAGAAACATCGACCAATAACAGGGAGAAGGAAAGAAAACATGTACAAATTCGATCGAAGTTGTTGTAATATTTTCCTCACTACTACTACTCACTTTGATTCATTTCCCAGCTTCCAAAACCATTGAAGCCATTGACGTTTTCTGTAAATGAAATTCGACGAAAATAAATTGTTTCTAACCAGATTTCTACAGTAAATTTCCTCCCAGAATTCATTTGGGTTATAGATCTTTAACTCTTATCGTTGAACTTAGAAAATTATTGTGATTTTTTCATTTTGAATTTTTTAGGAATTCTTAATTGGGACGGGGGAAATTGATAATTGAAATAAATAGGACACAATTCAAAATAAATATGAATAAAAAATATTAAATTATTTAATTATTAGTTTGATTATAAATATATATATATATATATATATTCTCTTAAATGTTATAATCTAGTCAACCATTTAAGATATTATTACGAACAAGTTATTAATCATTAAATATTTTAGAGGAAATAGTGATGTGAATATGTTATATGTGCGCAACCAGCATATGAATATGTCGAATCCAAGACTCAATGATTGATATGATATCATATAATATAAGAAAAGAATACGCTTTCATCTAAATTATAGTAAAATTTGGTTCATCACGTTGTCGTTTTGAGGTAGGCGACACTTCCGTACACGTTATACCATGTGACTAATTTGGGCAAATATGTATGTACAATTTACACACTTTATATTATATTAAATTAAAGATTTTATAAATTTATTAAGTGATCTCAATAATTAAAAGGAGTGTTGATTTCTCTTAAAATATTAAATTTAAAAAGTTACATTTGTAGAGTATATATGTTATTCTCTCTTAAAAGTTTGAATTCAAACCTCTACTCTACCAAATATATACATTAATAATAATAAAATAATTATTAATATATGTTATTTTATAATCATTAATCACCCACTATAAAATTTTGACGTAGGCACAATTATCTACGCAACCTTAAAGTTTATTTTTTTATGTATATATAACATATCATTTCAATTTTTTGTTTAAATATTAATTAATTGTACGAACCAAGCATCCTTAATGTTAAATGAATTGTTATTATTTCTTAAGGTATCGGGTTCAAGCACCATAAATATCGAGGGTGTAAGCGTTCGATGTCAAGTGGTAGAGAATTATCTTAGAACATATATTACTTTGTAATTAACCCAAATTAATAAAAAAATATTAATTAATTATAACAATAGAATATTAATTGAATTAATATTATTACTTATTATTAGTATTAAAACATTAAAATATATAATATGAAAAAAATATGGTTAAATGTAATTATTTTAAATGTAAAGACTTATCATCCAGTAATAATCTTTATTTTAGTTAATACAAATTTATTCTTAATACATAGTGTATTAACTAATCTTAAGGAACATGTTTTAGTGATGTCGGTTAGTTTAATGTTTATAACTTTTTTTAAAAAAAATTTAAAGTTTATAACTTTATATAGCGAGTGATAAGTCGGGATTATGATTCGTAGTTTACGATTAGCTATGTTCATAGTAATAAAGTGGTTATAATCGACTATCGATTGGTATTGATGTTTTCTTTTACAGGGAAAGAAAGGTTAAAATTATAATTTTAGACATTTTCTATTATTTTTTAAAAGTTTATACTAATTTTTAATGTTAGTATTAAGCGTAATATCATTATAATTATTTGCAAGTTAACCCAGTAGGCACACTCCATTGATATGTCTATCAATTGATTCAAAAATTATCTATTTCTTTTTAGTCAAATCTGATAAATAATTATGTAATGCGATGTATATTTTATTTTTTTGTGGGGGTGGGGGGTTTAAGGGCTTGATAGTTGATATACCCAAAAAAAAAGGACCCTTTTGCAAAATATTGGGAAAAAATTCATCACTAGGTAGTATTTTGTACTTTTCCTTTTCTTTTCACAATTTCACTTACAAATACCATAGAATGAAAATAAGGTTTATGTTATAAATAAATATTTAAAGTATATTATTCTTTCATCTAAATATTTAAAGCATATTCGATCGAAGCAAATACTTGAGAGATTATTTTTTTTTATCAAAATAGGTATTTAGTATTCAAATTTTTTTATCTAAGTATTTAAAGTATTCTTTAATTAATGTCATGTGCCAATTTTTTAGAACTAAGATAAAAAAATAATACTATAAATATCTATTTTGACCAATAAGTACTTTAAGTACTTATTTTGATAAAAAAATTTGTATACTTATTTTAATACTTGCATAAAAAATATGATGTATTTTAAGTACCTATTTGTGATATAAGGCTAAAAGCAAAACAAAGAGTCCCCTTTGGTTGGTTGTACAAAAGTGTCATTTACAGAAGAAACAAAAGAAATTCAAGTCTCTCATCTTATGTAGGTTCGTCCTAAAGACATGAGTCCAGTATCTTTAACTGGTGTCTGAAAAAAGGACAAAAATAAGTGAAATATTGTTAATAATGGAAGCTTAAGAACAAAGCAAAAAAAAATCAAGAATTGTTGTATTTTAGTGATGCTTACTTGTGATTTCACAGAAGGGAACACATTCCAAAACCTCAGAGTCTCGTCTCCTGCTCCAGTCACTATGGTCTGCAAACACGAACACAGTTAATTAGATTTTTACTCGATGAATCCTTTCTATCTACGAGAGCAGAGGACTCGTTACCTGTCCGTCGGGCGACATGGCGAGGTAGAGGACTCGAAAACTATGTCCGGTTAGTGTCGCGACCTTTACCATCGATGGATACTTCCACACCATGACTTGATTTTGAGAATATCCATGTGTGCTAACCAATTCATTGACATTCTTGCTCCATGATAGATTGCATACTTGGCTCCCTGTGTCTATGTTGTTCAATTGATGACCATTGGTCGTGTTCCAGAACCGGATACATCGATCCGCAGTTCCGCCCCCGGATGCGAGAAGATTGCTTTGATGGGGTGACCAAGCAATGGCTTTGACGGCGGCCTTGTGTTCAGTTAATTTAAGAACCGGCTGCTGTGAATACTGGTTCCAGACCAAGAGCTGATTGTCATTCCCACCGGATGCAAGTTCACGGTCGTCATGTGACCATTTCAATCCACAGACCTCGGATTTGTCTCCGATTAGCTTGTTAACGTAATCGCTCGAAACTCGAAGATCATGCTGAAGAATGTTGCGATCCCTGCTTCCGGACGATAGTATCCGTGAATTCCAAGCCAAGACACCGGTTCGCGTTTGATGTCCGCCCATCGTCCGGATCCTCTTGCACTGTGTTCCATCCCAAACCTAAACATGAAACCAAAATGCTTAAACCCCACCCCTATGGCGAATTCTATATGGAAATCGATCGGTTTACGTATCCTGAACTTGTCCGAGATTCGTACCAATCGATATGTATGAACCTTCCCGGGTCCATTGAACAGCACACGCACTGTCATTTGGTCCCAAATCACACAATTTGGTTACTCTGCTATTTGATGCAGTCCACAGATAAACACAAGTCCCCAACCCAACTGCAAGTACGTTCTGAGATGACCAATCGACAAGGTTCAAATAGAAGTCATCTTGAAGCGAAGGGGCATCCAAGACCTGCAATTCACGAAACATTTTCAGTAATATTATCAAATTCGAGTCGAATTTGAGTCGGATTAAATTAAATTACCTTATGAGGTGTCTTGGGGACTTTCCTAGGGAGTTTGGGTGGAGTAGAGGCTTCGCTGGCGAAGCCAATATCTTGCCCCAAAAGCGAAGGAGAATACGGAGAGCTCGGCGCTGAATTCTCGGTCTTGAACCGCAACAAGTTCCTATTCGGAGTAGTCGGCGAACCTTGACCTGCAGGAGAAAAGGAACCAAAATCAGGACCAAAAAGTTCAGATTTCAAAATCCTGGAATAAGCTTCATTCCCTCCTTCTTTAGCAGGCGACTCCTTATCCATTAACCCAAAGAGGTGCAGCCTCGAAGAAGATCTACACGGAATAAACCTATCGCTACATATCGACGATTTCGACGAGGACGACGGTGAAGTCAAACTCGATATCATCCGCGGCGAAGATATCGAGATCGAACGAAAGGAAGAAGAAGGAGAAGAAGCAGAGGCCGCTGAAGTTTCCAGCCGTAGTGAAGTTTCGTTCATCCCGGCAGGGAGGTTCAGGCCACTTTTTCTTCTCGGTGGAGTATCCATTTTTCGAGTTATTTTAATCTTTGCTTAGCTTGAGAGCCTGTTAAAAATGGGTTTCTCTTAGTTTTTGAAAATGGAGATTAAAAATGGAAGATTCGTAGCAGGAAAAACAAAGGCTCCTCTAGGGTTTTTTTCCCCCCAAAGGAGGAGCTGATTTTTCATGCCATTCCCTTGGCTTTGATAAAGCTTGAAATGGAAGATCTGCAACGGTCAAATTTTTAAGAGTAAAGTGCAGTAGAGGTCACTTCACTATGTTAAAATGATCTTTTTATAAGTAAACTATAAAATGTTACAAAATGGTCATTGAATTTTTCAAATGATTACAAAATGATAATTAAACTTTACCAAACTATTATAAAATAATCATTAAACTTATCAAATTATTAAAAAATGATCTTTAATCTTATAAAAAAACTATTATGAATTATTATTGCAGGATTATTTTATAATAGTTTGATAAATTTAAATATCATTTGTAATATTTAAAAGTGTACTAATCAAAAAGATCATTTTGACATAGTTCAATAACTTCTAGTATACTCTACTTAATTCGGCAAAGTACACTAAATGTCTTTAAACTATGCTCACATAATATTTCATCATTAAACTTTTAAAATCACAAAGATCATTTTAAAATTTCATCATTAAATGTCTTCAAATTATTATGAAATGATCATTAGATTTATAAAACTTTATGACAAAAATGTTACGATGACTATTTTATAATAATTCAACAAATTTAAAAATAATTTAATATCATGCATTTTAAATTATAGTAGGGCAGAGAGGAGCTACATATGTTTCGAAAAGGGGAAGGGAGGATGTCGTTTTGGGTTTTGATGAATTAAAAACGACATGGTTCTTGGAATTCTAGTACTAACGGTCATTTTCCTTGTGCTTGCCAAATAGCCGTTGCTTGTGAACTTGCAGGAAATAAAATTGTTGGATTAATAATTTGGGTTAAACGTACCATTACCCCCTTAAAGTATACTATTTCTATCGAGTTACCCTTTAAAATAGAGAAAATCACCTCAGTGACCAAAAAAAAGTTATAATATACGATTTTAACCAACTTTTTTTGGATTTGCCAAAATGACCAACAAAATCGTAACGCGAAATAAAAATCGCAACGCGATCCCCAGAATCGCAAATCAGTTTCCAAAATCGCAACGCGATTCTTGAAAATCGCAATGCGATAGTACAAATTCGCATTGCGTTTTGCCAAAATCGCAACGCGAATATGAAAATCGCAACGCGAACACATAAATCGCAACGCGTATCCGTAAATCGCAACGTGTATCCGTAAATCGCAACGCGTATGGGTAAATCGCAATGCGTATCCGTATATCGCAACGCGTATCCGTAAATCGCAACGATAATACATAAAATCGCAACGCGTATCCGTAAATCGCAACGCGATATTTAAAGCGCCATTATAATCGCTACGCGTATTTTATTTTCAAATTACAAAAAGAATATTAAGACAAAATCCCGTAATCGCAACTCATAACCTAAAACCTAAAATCACAACTCAGTCCCATCTCCATCTCTCACTCTCTACGGCGAAGAAATCCATCTCCGAAGATTTCCGTCCCCATCTCCGGCGAAATCCCTCACAACCATTCACGGTCAGAAATCCCTCACAATATTCACAATATTCACAACATTTTACACCCTAAAGTTTAACATAACACGTCATCACTTAATTTTAATTTTCTTTTTTTTATAAAAATCAGTTAAAATAAAATAAATAATATTTTAATCATTAAACAAAAAAATGTTTCCTTTCTCAGCTTTTCAGTTTCCGACAACTCAACCACTGTCCCTCCTCCACCGGACAAGATTTCATCCACCATCACCACCCTCAAGATCACCAACATCCGCCTTTATTTCAAAAAAGACTCTTCTTTTATCACCATCTAATTATGCATATGCTGAAGCATGGAGGTTTGAAGATAAGATCTTTTTAAGCTCAGAACTTGAGATACTTTAATAGTAAAAGAATGGAAATTTAGGCACAAGGGTTTTATCAGGATTTTTCAAAAGCAATTTGGGTCTTCTCCTAATGAGATTTCTGATTTGAGATTGTGAAAAAGCATGGTTCCTAAAGAAGCTGATAGCAGAGTCATGCCTTCTGGAGGATTCAAATTATATTGTTCTGAAAACTGATAAAGCGGGTTCTGGAGAGAACCCACAAGAGTTTACAAGGTAAGAAACTGTAAATGGGTATTCATTGCTTGGAATCTTTGAAATAAATCCTTGTGTTCCACCTCTTATGGAGATTTGTGTTTGGCAGAAATAATAGAACATGGTCTCCAATCATCAAATTTTAAAAATTTCAGCTTGAAAAATTACAGAGTGAAATGAAAATCAAAGTGATGAGAAAATAATTTTATCTTCAACTCGACTCGTTATCGTCTTGGTCGACCCGGTTGCATTCATTTGAACTACGAGAGTAATAAAATTGTTTCCTTTGAGTTTTTATGTGGTGGGTTTAATATTGATCTGGATTTGGATTTGGATTTGGATTTGGCAGTTTAGTTGGAGGAAAAAAAGATGGGAATTTTAATTAGGGATTCCGTTTGTTTTTTATTTAAAATTCTGGATTTGATTTGAAATGGTTTATTTCCATAGCTTGAAAAGTTTGGGTTTAATTTGAAATGTCGATTTCCATAGCTCAATCTCAGTCTGCAACTCAGTTGACCAGGTTTCTTCGGCTACAATCAGGGCAAATTTTGTGAATTCAAATGATATTGTGATGAATTCGAAAGCATCATCATCATCGAGGAACATTTTTTTAACAAAAAAACAAAAGGTATCCAATTCATCAAGAAAAAAAACAAGTTTATAAATTCCATCTTGAGGGCGGTGATGGCGGATGAAATCTTGTTCGATGGGTGGTTGAGTTGTGAGAAGGGCAGGAGGAGTGAAAAGCTAGAAACGAAACATTTTATTTTTTAAATGATTAAAAAAATATTTAATTGATTTTTCTATATAAAAAAAAAGAAAATTAAAACTAAGAGATGACGTTTCATATTTTGATTGGTCACGGAAATTTATTTTTAACGAAGTTAACATTTTAGGACGAAACAGATAACGATTTAAATTTTAAGAAATAAAATATTCTAAAAAAAAATTAAGAGTCTACTCGATATAAATGACATATTTTAAGGGATAATTATGCATTTGATCCTAATAACTTTTTTCCCGAAATTATATGCAGAGTTTTAAGAATAACGTGTTAAAGATAATCCGTTGGATTTCATGTACTATAATATCTCATTAAAATATTTTAGCGTAAACTATATAGGTGACCACCTAACTATTACTTTTTTCTACTTTAACCACTAATGTTTCAATTTAATTATTCAGATCATCTAATTATTTAAATGTTTCAATCAAGTCACTGTCCGTTAACTTCTAACGGAGAAAGTGACGTGATAGTTAAAAATTTTAGTATAATTGCATATTTGGTCATTAATATTTATACATTTTATCAATTTGGCCATAATTTAATTTAATTTAAATATTTTTTTCTCAATTAGATGATGAAATATGTGAGTACGTGGTTGGAAGATTTTTTCATAATTATTTATTTATTTAATCTAATTTAATCAAAATTGAGTCATCAGGGTAACTTGCACACGCCTGAACAGTTTAGATAACCAACTCATTTGGTTTCAATTTATGACATATTTGAATACAATTTACAATATTTTTATATATTTTAAATTTCTGTTAATGGAATAAATAATTCTTAATTTTTATTTATTAACTATAATTTATAATATTTTTATATATTTTTAATGTTTGTTAGTGAAAGAAATAATTTTTATTTTTATTTATTAGTTATAATTTAATATTTATATATAATATTAGAAATTATTTTTCCATTAACTATAATTTAATATAATATAAAATTATAAAATTATAATAAATAAATAAAATTAAGAATTATTTTTATTAACAAAAATTAAAAATATATAAAATATTGTAAATTATAATTAATAAATAAAAATTAAAAACTAATTCTTTCATTGACAAAGATTAAAAATATGTAAAAAAAATTGTAAATTATAGTTAATAAATAAAAAAATTATTTCTTCCATTAACAAAAATAAAAATATATAAACTATTATAAATTATAGTTAATAAAAAATTAAGACTTGTTTCTTCCATTAAAACAATCTAAAATATATAAAAATATTGTAAATTATATTCAAATATGTGATTAGATTTAATAGTTAAAGTAATTTCATCCTTTGTTTTGAATCCCCAATTTGCATATTCAATTCTTTTTTTCTCACTTTAATTGAAATAAGATATATACAATATGTTATAATTTGAAACCAAATATGCAATTATACTAAATTATTTAATTTTCATGTCACCTCCTTCATTAAAAAGTTAACAGACAATAGTTTGATTAAAGCATTTAAATAGTTGAATAGTCTGATTGATTAAACTAAAACATCGGTGGTCAAAGTGAAAAAGAGAAATAGTTAGGTGATCACCTGTGTAGTTTACCCAAACTTTTACAATGTGTAACGTTGATCTCACTCTTCTCGTAGTAATCCGACCTACTGACTGTTTGCGGTTGGAACCTCGAGTTTGCAGCATAAATGAAGGCACCACATCGTGCATCAATAACCGAATCTAATGCTCTTACCACCTGAATCGGTGACTTGCAAGGTCAAAGCATCCGAACTCCAGCTTCTAGTCGTTCGTTTATACCAGGAAGGAGACTGCGCCAACCAGTCATAAAAAATTGAACTGCTCAACCTATTCTCCACAGCCTCATCCTCGACTGGCAACCTTCTTATTGAGACCTCAGTCATCTTCATCAGCTCCATCATCATTATCTTCGTTATATTTTCCGATTAGTTTATCTCGAGTTTTTACGCTATTCAAATTTCATGCAATTCTTTGTATTTAGGCTATTTCCAGTACATCGTTGGAGTAAAGAAAATCTCCACTTTAGAGTAGAGATAGTACTCCAGCCCATCGTCACTTTGGAGTAGAGATAATGTTTCAGTTATAGTAAAACGCTACATCTAGCGTTGCACTGTAACTGCGTTACATTTTTTTGT